TCAGGCTGGTCTCGAACTCCTGACCTTGAGCGATCCACCTGCCTCGGCCTCCCAGAGTGCTAGGATTACAGGCGTGAGCCACCGCACCCGGCCCAATAAATGATTATAAAGATAATAATAATATTTTTCTGTTCCCAGCATGAACCAGATATTAATATATGCTTAGTTCTTTAGTTGTATTTTCACTATGGTCTACCAGTCTAGGAAGTGCCCAGAGGCAAGCTAGACTACGTCTGTATTATTGACCTTTAAATACATAGGGCCTGCATGAGGCCTAGTACAGACTAAGGGCTCAATAAATAACCGTTAAATGAATGGATGGATGGTACTATCACATTTTACAGCTGAAGAAACCGAAATTTAGGGCAATTAAGTATTGTAAGTCATTCAATTATTAAATAATACTTACCAGCTCCACTGAACATATATAAATATATTTTAACAAATATATGCAATTTTTGATGTATCAATCTAGTGTGGTCTCTCTATAGCTGGAAAAACTCCTTACTATGAATAAAGAAGTAAAGTTAATACACCTTATGGGGAAAGAGGAGAAAGTAACAATAGCAGGGATAAGAATATATTTTTCACCCCTAGGATATAACTTAATTTTTTTGACCTTCATGTTGACTTTAAAAATATAAAGTGTTATCAGATTTTGTGGTGTCCCTAAGAGAAAGGAAAACAGAATGGAATATTTAACGTATACTCCCAAACTGGGGAAAGTAGGGGGTGGAAGATAACTCTATGAAGGAAATAGATCCAGGACTAAGAAATATGTAGATCAAACACTGAAAGAGATCTTAGAAATCACCTACCCAACTACGTACAGGGTGTTACTATGTGCTATGGAAAAGGAAACAGTTCAAGGGTCACCTAAGTATGGGAAAGAAGGTACCAAATGAAATTAACCAGAAATATTTCTACTAGAAATCTTTTCATGGAGCTTAATATTCTGATAAGGTATATTTTGCTTATCTGAGAATGGGGAAGTAGTTCAGTGGGATTCACAAAATTATTTAGGCACAGGATTTCTCCTCCCCATTCCACACAAAGTACCTCACAGAACTAGTGCATCACGACTGCATTTTGGAAATGTTGGTATTATCTACTTCTCCAATTTTGCAGGAAAACAATCAGTAGCCAAGGGGAACTTGAACCAAAGTTTTCTAACCTCTCATTCAGTGCTCTTTATACTAGATCCTATTGTCTTTATCTATGAAATATTATTTCTTATTGTCATAGGTTTTAATATAGTATTATAATTATTTGAAGGACATGATTTGGGTAATTGGAACAATAAATTTTCAAACAAAGCTAACAGAAGAGGAAATAGTCAAGTAAGTCAGTCCTTCATAAATGAATGACAAACCTTAAATGAACATTTTATTTAATCACTTCATGTTTCTCCATCTTTGCTTTCTTTTTTTTTTTTTTTTTTTTTT